AAAACCATAGCTCCTCTCACTGTCTCGTCCCCCTTACCATGGTGAAGCCACAACTGTCAGCTTCCCGACCTCCTGTCTGGGAGCCTCCTGGTAGCCTTCTGCCCCCATGCCTACCCCCAGCAAGGACCATATGCTTCACACAGCCATCAGCTCTTGTTGATGCATCTGACACTACGTGATTTTTAAGACTATTGACAGTAACTCAGAGGTTTATGGTTCTGTATGAGTCATTACTGGATTGGTCACAAGTGCACTGAATTCCCTTGCACCTCTGACAATAACTGCCTGAAGCATCTTACGAACCCTGGTCCAGCCACCTCAGGGCAATATGGACAGTACAAGTGCCTGGACAAACCCAAACCTTCTTTCACAAAGAGCTGATACACTGGTCTCTTGGACAGATAATGCTCTCATTTCTGTCGTTGGGCTCTTCTAAACAGCCTGATCTGACCTAGATCTTGCCACAGAGACTATATTCTTAAACCTCAATATGCTCTGGCACCCCTGGGCACCCATTTTTTCTTCAGTCATGGCTTTGCAGTCCTGCTCTTAGGGTCTGGTCATGGGCAGAAAGCCATGAAGAAGCAAAGCTTGGCTTCCAGGAGCACTCCGGTTATGTTAGCTTTTCAATATTAGCTTAGCAATAAGGTACACTGCAGAAGGATTAGGACATGCTCAGTTCCAGGCAACAGGAAGCTGAGCCAGGGAGAGAGAGACTCTCCACAGAAAGAGCTGCTATTTTGCCTTGGGAACTTTACAGGTTGTAGAATAGTTTTGGTTCATAGAATGTCATGCACTGCTGTTGCATCATAGCAGGAGGCCAGAGGAGACTGAACAAGGACAGAAGCACTGCAATGGAACAAAGATGATGTGGCTTTATGGATGAGGCTGCTTTCTTTCAATGAGATTTCTGATGTGTCTGAAGTTGCTCTGGAAAACAGCATGTTTTCTGACTAGGGATAGTGTTGCTATTTGCTCAGATCCCTCTGCATCCTGTTCTAAACAGAACCCCTACATGTGAGCACTGGGCTTCAGATAGTATGTATATAGCAAAGGAGCAAGAAGTCAAACTCTGGAGAGTTTGTATTTATTTTGTGTGCATTGCTGGAACTGTCTTTGTAATGTAACACGTGATTTAGCAATCTACTACGAATGGTGGGGGTTTAGGACGCTGGGAAAAAACCATACTTCAAAGCTGATTAATAAAAAGTGTACACTGAAAATATTGTTCAAGGTGTCTAAATATTCCTATCTCATATAATGCTGAAGCATGCTAAATTTTTCCACACTAAAATACTATTAGTTGTGATCTCATCTAAAGTTTCCTTCAAAGCATCCATTGCACCAAAAGTTTCAGCACATTTCCAGTCAAAATGAAGTTGTCCACTGCTGAATAAACACCACAGTATTTTGCACAGAGAAGTGACAGAAGTGAATTTTTTAATTAAAAGCAGCAGAGGTACTTTCCAGGCCCAGACTGAAGAGGCATTAGATGTCAGACTTTTCTGGGTTTGTATGACTAATACTTCAGACAGTCAATTGAAACTGTATGAATGCTGAGAATTAAATATAAATATATTAATGGGCGCACATATTAAACATACTTATGATTTGAATCAATTCACTAAATAGAGCACATGGAACTTACGTGGTTTGTTCTGGAAGCAGACTTTTTTCCACACTGAAGGATGTGAAAACCACTTCCCTATCTGATACGATTCAGTACATCTGTGTGTGATTACATAAACATGTCTCAGAACACAGAGCAGCACAGCCAGGTCTCATAGCAGTTACATTCATTAAACTTTGTCAGACCATGTGATCTCCCCTGGACCTTTGGTATTTGCCTGTTTCTAAGATTTACTGCATATTCCTTATATTTTCTTATTTAAAGCAAGAGTGGTTCACTGAGAATTAATCACAGTACCCTTCAATAAATGATAAGTCACCATTTCAGGGCTGAGCAAGCATGCCTAAAGTCACTAACAGAAAACAAAAGAATTGAAAAAGCATTGCTGTTTTACCTTCTTCTGTTCACTGAAATTTGTCTCAGAAATATTTTCTTTAAAATACGTGTCATCATTTTACCTTCATATAATTCCATCTCAAATCAGTCCAGCAGTTCAATTACCTAGGCAGCCTCATCTCCTCGGATGGTAAGATTGACGGGGAGATAGACAACAGGTTAGCGAAGGCATATAGTGCTTTTGGAAAACTCCATAAAAGAGTTTGGCGTAATGAACACTTGAAGAAAAGTACCAAGATCAGTCTTTACAGAGCCATAGTGCTGTCTACTCTCTTATATGGTTCCGAATCATGGGTCATCTACCGCCACCACCTGTGTCTCCTAGAACGCTTCCATCAACGCTGCCTCCGTACAATCCTAAACATCCATTGGTCAGACTATGTGACCAATACATCTGTTCTTGAACAGGCAGCAATCACAAGTAGTGAGGCCATGCTGCTGAGAACGCAGCTGCGCTGGGCAGGGCACGTCTCCAGGATGAAGGACCAATCACCGCCTCCCTAAGATCCTGCTTTACGGTGAACTTGCCACCGGCTGCCGCAAGAGAGGAGCCCCGAAGAAAAGATACAAGGACTCCCTGAAGCAACAACTCAGCCTCGGGCATATTGATCAACATAACTGGTCTACTCTGGCCTCCAATCGGGAGGCCTGGAGACAGACCATTTATAACGCTGCTGATGCTTTTGAGAAAGCACGCAGGATCACTCTCGAGGAGAAAAGACAACGCAGAAAGAATCGAGCCTTGCAGAATATACCATCCAAGGAGTCTTTCTGCTGTGCCTTTTGCAACCGGACATGCCTTTCTCGTATTGGCCTTTTTAGCCACCAACGCGCTTGCAAGAAATGTGGGTAGAGCCCTTCCCAAATCTTCGTTCGCGAAGCCTAGCCATGATGAATTCCATCTCATACACAAATCAGCCTTTCCTTGCTGTTTTCTTGCTGTTTCCTTGCTGTTTTCCTTCATGGGTCAGTAGCTAGAATTAGTTAGGACTAAGCTCCTAACCAGCAATTTCTGAGTAACCTTAAGGATGCTAAAAAGTGGCAATTTCCAATTTGCAGATGCAGTAGCTCTTACCATCAAGCATCTGCATACCTGCAGTGTCCTCCTGAAGAACTTGCTTGAGGTTGTAGGTCTCACCACAGAGATGTAAATCTGGTCAGATTACCCTTTTTCTGAAGCTTTGATGGCTAAGTTAATCTTGATACTTACAGTGGTATCTGGGCAACTTGGCTGAGTTTCTGTCCCAAAAAGATGAATGAAATCTGGTTTATAATGAAGCTACATAAGCAGTGTTTCCATAGCACTGGAGGAATCATTTTTGCATTCTGAAGACCTGCTGTCTTATCAGTGGTTCATGTAAGTCATCCCATTTCTACCACCAGGGGAGGACACATGCAGTTTGAGCACACTGTTTCCAGCCTGCAGTTGTCCAATCTGGATGTAGCCTATGCATCGATGAAAAAATGTTAAGACCTGTCATTTTACTTAGTGTGTGGATGCTAAACTAGGTATTAGAGCTTGTAACAGAACATGCTTCTTGGTCATCTCTTGCAAACACTTGGTAGCTTGTTTTGAGCAAGTAGAAGATAAAATCAAGCATTTTCCAAAGTTAATGGCCTGATGAATACTTAGCAAGGCTTTTCAGCATGTTGAAGTATAGTCTCAGTGCTAAATTACGGTGCTGAGTACACAAACAAGGTCTGATGTGGTGTGGGGTCAACAAAAAAAAAAGCTTCCTAAAGAGAAAGAGCTCCTCACCAGCATGGCATCAAAAGATTTGCTCATACCAATGCCGAAAACCTTTCTAGTAACAATACCTGTGACGCAGCAGATATTGCCAGTAGCTATAGAAAACACTGTCATCACTGTGTTGACGGTTCACAGGCAAAGATCTGACTTAAGGAGAACTGTCTCTGCTGCTTTCTGGTTCTTGGGAAACACGAGTACTTTAAGTGGGCTTGGTGTTTCATTATAGGCTTTTGTGCTGCTGGAGGCATTGATGGCTTGTATAGTCGTAGGTACTCTCCCTAGAAATCTCTCTACAGGGGTTAGAAACGCTTAGCGTTAAGTTCTGTGCAAGGTGCTGTCTTTTCACTTGATGCAAGTATATGCAAAAGTGGCCTCTAGATGCTCCTGCTATCCAAAGAAATCAGACTATTTCACAGTAAAAACTGATGGAGGGTGGGGAAGAAGTAATTTGAACCTGGTTTTGTATAATAAAATATAAAAATATATAAAAATATAATAAAACCCTCTTCTAAATCTGGAAAACTGTCTGTTGCACAACCTTCTCCGATTCCAACGTTAAGGGTTTGGTGAACCTGCACATTGACTATTCCTATGACTGGGGCTCCTAAACGTTTCTTGCCGACATCGGCAAGGGATTCGAAACTTTCACAGGACGAGAAATGCGGCTGCTCCAGAAACAGCTGCAGCCTCTCCTCGAAGCCCCACGGCCCTCTCCCGAGGCAGTCTCCGCGACACCCAGGGTCTGCCGCGGAGAGCGGGCGGAGAGTGGGGACGCCTCCGCTCCTCCCGGTGCTGATCCCCCTGCCTGCAGCGCCGAGGGCCGGCTGCGGAGCGGGAGCGGAGTTCGGCGAGGCGGAGCGGGCACACCTGGGCCCCCGCCCGGCGAGGGAGCGCGGGCGGAGCGGGGGCGGAGGGAGCCCGTCCCTCCCCGTCCCGTCCCGTCCCGTCCCGCTCCGTCCCTCCCTGTCCCACCCCTCACCCCTCCCTTCTTCCCTCCCTCCGTCCGCCCGTCCGTGCGCGCCGGCGGCGGCGGCGCCGCGCTCCCTACACCGCGCAGCCCCCGCAGGTAAGCGCAGCGCGGCGGGACCGGGGGGCGGAGCGGGGCGGGGGCCCGCCGTCCCCGCCCGCGAAGAGGTGCCCGCTCCCCATTCCCCGAGGGCTCCGCGCCCACGGAGCTCTCCCCTTCCTCCCCCCGCTTTGGTTTTTTTTCTTTCGTGTTCCTGAGCCCGGTCCGACTCCTGCGGCGCGCAGCGGTGCGCGGGACGGCGCGCCTTGGCTGGGGCCCCTCTGGCGAAGGGCTCCTTCGGGATGGGCTCGAGTGAGCTGCTGGCGTCGGGTTAGGCTTATATTCCTGCTGGACTAACGCCTCTGGGGTTGGCCTGGACTAAGTGATGGGCACTTGTTTGATTAAGGGACACTAACAGTACTTACTTAGAGTCTGTCCTGATTTATTCCCCCCCCTCCTCTGTGAATTCTCTTTGGATTGATTTATACGGATTAAGGCAGTGGAAAAAGTCCTTGTTAAAAAATGGTTGCCACCTCGCTCTCCTGACTTCCTCAGTCCTTCGGACGAAGAGCCTGCTGAAGTCCGATGGGAGCAGTGTTGATGTGTCCATAGTATTTACAAAGGTAAAGGACAGGGAGAAGATGAATGACAAGCACAAGGGTATGGAGTATTAGAGAAAGATGGAGAGGGTGGGGAGCAGGAGGGAAGCTGGAGGACAAAAGCCGTTAGCGAACTGAAGTGAGAAGACAGAGGTGGAACCAGAGGGACCAAGTTTCTTCCTGTAGCTTCTTTCTCTATGTTCTTTTTAAATAACTAGACAGTGGGAACCATCTAAAAAGCTGCTTCCTGAAGAAATATATGAAAAGTTTTTGTTATCCGAAAGATGTTGGAATGTTTAAATTTTATTTTCTTGTGGATTTCTCTCTGGAACAAGCTCACACCTTCATGATTTCAGTTGTCTATGAATAAGTTAAAAGCTGCTCAAATCTCCCCTTTCTTCTTTTGTTTTCTCTCTATCCTTATTTGCTGTAGGTTTGGGTTGGTTTTTTAGTTGGTTTTTTTTGGCTGGTGGGGGGATTGTGGGTTTGGGAGGTTTTTTTTGGCGTGGGGAGGTTTCTGTTGGTTTGGGGTTTTTTTTTCAAGTTTCAAGATAGGATAACCTGGGGGAGCCTCTGTAGGCAAATTGTGTTCCCAAACTGTGGAGGAATCGGGGTAACTACAGTCCTTCTACCACTAAAAACTACTGCAACTCTTATCTTTTCAAAGAAAGTCTTTTTCATGCTAAGTCAGATTTGGTGTGTGTACCATTTGGTTTGAAAGGATTCACTCTCAGGTCTGAGAGTTATGTTTCAGTCTGGCAGCCAGGGCTGTGTGCCATGCAGCCTGTTACTCTTGTGCAAGGATGGGGTGTACTGTAGCACTAAAATAATATTTCTGGTAATTTCAGCAGTGGACTGAAGCGATATTGTGTGAGCCCAGGCATAAGTGAAGCTCTGCCCTGCAGCTCACTATTACTGGCTATAGGCGTGCTGCATATTTCTCCTTAACTGATATGTGCTCTGACTTACAAAGCAACTTGATAGGCCTGTGTTTTACCGTTGTTTTTTATTGAATATTAACCACACAAAATCAAATGCTGTCTTGCAGCAGGATAGATTGACACTGTCTCATCCTGTGCAGTTGTACATGAGCTGTGGTTGTTTTCCCTTTTGTGTGCAAATAACCAGGGAATAATTTAGGGATATTGAGAAGCACTGTTTCATGATCAATATGGTGTTGTCCTTATCACTCCTTAATACAAATTGCACTAGTTAGACTGTTGGCTGCTGTAAGCCTTGTTCTGAGAACTTAGCAGGAACAGTGCTGGTTGGAGAGATGAAAACACTGGCTGGAGCCTGCTTTCTATTCCTCCACTCTTCAAAACAAATATTGAGGGTGGAAAGGTTAAAAATCTTTTGAGACAAAACACGTGGAAAATGCAAAATTAAAGTAATGCTACACTGTGTACGCAGCTTTAATATGTGAACTCCACATGTACCAGTCTTATCACTGTGTACGAAAATACTTATGGTTTTCGTCAGTAATTCTATAAGATTGTAACTAAAATATAATTCCTTCTCTGCTTAAAAATGGGAGAAAAGAAAAATATCTGCAACTTGGTCTTGTAGTGTCACACAGTGAAACTATATGGGGAATCCAGGAGCGGGTTGAAGGTTGAAGAAAGTGTTTTGCTCTGGAGCAGAAACTTAGGTAGTACTTAAGTGGGATTCACTTTTACATCACTGTGACAAACCCTTAATAACATCTTAATGAATAGTTTGCGCTTTCTCAGTAGCCTCTCCATACTGAGCTTGCTTTTTCTGATATTCAGCGGTTTAAATCAAAAGGCAAGTATTTCTTCTGAGCAGCTTACCTTTGTGATACTACCACCATACTCTCTTTGAGTACCCAGCAGTTTGACCACTAACTCTTGGAGGTGAGCTGCCTCCTCCAGATGTCGGAAGAGCTGGCTTTGAGCACCTCTATGTGGTGACCTGCCAGCACTTGCTGAGCACTGTTGCTGTGCCAATTGCTGTGTATCTGGCTTTTTTATCATATGGACGCAGGCAAAAACTGAGTGCAGCTCTTTTGCCATCAAGGCTGGATGGGGAACTCTCTCACAGCCATCGCTCATAGTCTTGGTGATGTCCAAGGACATGTGGAAGAATTTGAGAGTGGTAGGAGGTTGTAGTGTGAGGCAGTTGCCGTTTCCACTATCATTTGCCTCCCAAAGTTGAAGTTTGCTACGTTAGTTGGTTTTCCTCCATTTCAGAAAGAAAAGTGCATGCAATTTCAAGGGCACTTAAATTCAGTCTGAAGTCAGTTTACATCCATCTAAATGGTGTATTTGAACAGCAGCTGCTACAAGTAATGCTAGGGGAAAGATGCATACAATTGTTTTACTGAAAGGAGGGTAGAGCAATCAATATATGATCCCTTCAGCATCTTTAGTTTGTGGATTAGTTCTTTATGTGTTATGTATTTCACTGCTTCATCCTTCACAATGAGTTTTATTAATTTTTTTATCAGTTTAGTAGTGGAAAAAAGGGGAAACAAACTTTGAAGAAAGTAAACAATGTGGTTGTAAAAAAAATAAGCAAAAATGAAGGCATTATGAAAACACTTTTTTTCCTTTTTTTTTTTTTTTTCTTTTCCATCTTCCTGTGTCCCTCTTTAAAAAAGGTCCTCATTTGCGGCTTTAGGATTTTTGATAATTCGAAGGAAGAGGAATACATGATCTTGAGGGACTTGAGCCAGCAGTGGCTTAAATTGGCAGTGGTTATGTAGCATCCAATGTGTGGTTTTGACTTTCCCATGTGTCACAAGGTGTTACTGTAGAAAGGAGGCAGTCCTCAGTAATGCACCATTAGGGCTGATCTTACACATCTCATGTTTTCCTCTCAGGTGCTTTTCTTCATAGCTAACACAGAAGCTTAAGGTTTCATCCATGGCCTATAGATGTCAATGGTAAAATGTATATTGGCGTTGAATGACTTTGGATCAGGTGCAAGGCTGATCAGGTGTTGCTTTTGCAGAAATACAAAATTGTTTCCAGGGCAGAGGAAAGCTCTATCAAAGGAATAAGAGCTGCTGTTCTGCTTTACATTTCAGGGAATTTAACATTTGGTTTTCTTCGTTTATATTTCAAGCTTAGTTCCTTTAAAACAAGTAGAAGCATTGCCTGTATGTTCTTGCACCTTCATTGACATAGTGAAACAAATGACAGTGAACATGTGAACATCTGGCATCTTGTTTTGATTTTTATTGAAGGTAAATGAGATTTCTGATAAGTACCGATGTTTGTGCATCCAAACCTCTCCTTCTCTCGTCCATTGTTTCTTGACTGCCTGACACTGTTCCCATAGTTCTAGGCAGATAATTAGTACACTTGACTTGCAAAATCTTGGTCATTGCTTGGCTGAAGGTTGCGCTTTAGGATCAGATTTCATTTTTTAATGACCAGTATCTTTTGTTCTTGAAAACATAGTTTCAATTTGTGCAACATTGAGCACCAGTAAGGAAAAGAGCCTATGTGCTGGTGTTGTTTTGGATAGTATATGTGTGTCGCGATTCCACGTGGCAACTCCATGATCATTGCGTTTCTCTAACGAGCTTTTGACAGAGACCTTTTGAGGTGGTAAAGGTATTATATTTCTATACAGAGGAGCAGTAACCTTGCTTGGATCAGTGCAAAGTGTCCAGAATTCCCTGACAGGGACAGCCTGCATGAATTTGTTAAACATGTTTTTCTCAGTTCTGTATCTACATCCTAGTGGATCTGTCTCCTTCTTGACCCAGATCTTGTAGGCAGTTATGTTAGTGCACACAGGGAGGGGAGCACTGGCGCTCTTACCCCAGGGCAAAGAAGCATTTCTTCTTAAAAAGAAAGCAAATCTTCCCCCTCTGCTTCTGGCAGACAAAAACAGCCACAAACTTGTGTGGCTGCTGCGGTTCAAGGAGTGTGGGTAAGGCATGCCTACCCTTGCCAGAAGCACAACCAGAGAAGGGGAACCACATCCCTCCTCCTCTACTTCCAGGATGAATAGCCTGGAAGGGTCCTGGGCTGGGATGCGTGGAGAGTGTTCTGCTTTCCAAATACCTTGAAGATCAGCGCTGGTGCACTTTGGAGTGGATTATGACCTGGATGTCATTCCTGTCATTTCCTCGGGAAACAGGAGGAAAGTGTTGTGCCTTGCTGTTTCCCACTTACATATTGCAGTGTGGTCTCTGCTGAGATAGTGGTAAATAGCGTGCATCAGTGGCATGAGAAATGCCTTCAGTTGCAAAAGTGGGAAGGCTGGATCTCTTTTAGAAGGAAACGTATTTTGGGAGCACAGGTACTATATTGGTGACAACTGTATATATACTTTTGTACCAACTGTTATCTTTACTTTAGATTGTTGTAACTTGGGAGGTTGGAACTGCTTTGTTTTTTTGAGGGCATTTTTTTGGCTTCCATATGGCATACTCTAGATAAAATTTAGAGGTGCTTTCCCTTTCTCTTTAAAAATACAAATGTGCCAAGTATGCAAACTGAAATTATTTTTCTGCTTTTGCTTCTGACTGTAACTAAGAGATGAACACCTGAAGAGGATTGTTGAAGCTACTGGAGAAAATGCCAGTGAGTTTGATAGTCGTATATGATGAATTTCAATTCTGTGTGAGCCTCATGCTGTTGTATTACAGACTATTTAGCCTTTTGTGTAGGAATTTACATGCCACAGCGACCTTCTGAGTAGGGTGAATTTCAGAGGCACTCTATGCAATATATTGGTTCTTGTCTTCGGCTAGAAAATGTATTGCATTCTGTAGTTCTTGCAGGAGCAAGCAAAAAAACATTGGATTGACATCAAAGGCAAGATCTTTCTGCACAAAATCCTGAAGATTTTGAGTGGTAAAAGTCTGGCAAAGGAAATGCATGCTGTTTTTCATTGTAAGACCCTTTTCCCTCCCTCCTCCCCTCTTTTTGGGATGTGTATGTCAAATACGAAATGATACCGGTACATTACTTAGAGGAGCATTAATTTTTCTTAGACAGTCTTTGGCCACTTGTTGATGATTTTTTTTACCCTGGATGGAAAGT